CTCGGGAAGGTTCCTTTGTATGATTGTTGAAACATTTTCACCTACCTTAATTTTCTCTCCTATTGTAAGCCTTTGCTTCCTCTTCACTCGTGCATAATTCTTTCAAGAATTTGGCATAGCGAGGGACTTGTTTAATTACATCCAATGGTGGAATGTTCACCACATAATTTTGAAATGTTTCATATAAATTGGTATTGCTTTTAAAATTACGAGTGCAAACTAAAACGTAAGGAAAATGAGCGTGGACTCTACCTTTTAGTGATAGTGGAGACTTACCTATCATTTTTTTCTTTTTTTTGAGAGGCTTGATCTGTCACCTCTTCTTCTTCTTCAATGTGCTATCAGTATCGGTGCAGTTGGTACCTTCTTTGGTGGTTCCAACTCTTTTCCACTTCGTAAGACTACCGCACTCACATTTGCTTTTGGATTTACTATCGTTTACAAGGGTAGTTTGCTCAAATTTTGAGCTTCGATTTTGCTTGACGACATTGGCAAATTAGCTCACTTGATGATCCAAGTTTTGAATGTTATTCTTGCCTCTTGCTGAAATTTCACAATGTTAGTATCTAAGGTTTTAACAATATCTTCAAGAGACATACTTGAATCGAAAGTTTAAGCATGTGGTCGCTATCTAGATGGGTACTAGTGCTTGAATGGCTGAAAATTATTGACGGGTTGATTCATTGGGGCATTACTAAAGCGAAGGTTGGGGTAATCCCCTAACTCTGAGTTTTATGTGTTTAAAAAAGGGTTATAATTTTGTCGTGGCGATCCTGGGAATCCACCGCGGCATTTACTTGTTCTAGGTTATCATCTTGAAGAGTTGGACACATGTCCGTTGCATGTCCCACCACCGAACAAATTCCACAAACCTTTATTGATTCTATTTTTCTTGTTACCGGTTGACGAACAAGAACAAGTAAGGTCATCAAAATGCTTTTCAAGGGAAGAAGCACTTACCTCATTTCCTCGTCGAGTGGCATAGTCGGATCTAGTTTCAAATTGTTGTGTGTTTGATGCCATATTTACTATCAAAGTTTTGGCTTTTTCGGGTATTTTGTTAGCTAAAGCACCACCACTTGCTGCATCAATCATGTTTCGATCCGATGGCAAAAGTCCTTCATAAAAGTATTGGATGAGCAGATTGATTCATGATTTGGTGGTATGGGAAGCTTGCATAGAGCTTTTTAAAGCGCTCCTAATATTCATATAACGATTCTCCATTATGTCGCCTAATGCCATAAAATTTTTTCCTTATGTTGGTCGCTCTAGAGGTTGAAAAGAATTTCTCCAAGAACAACCTCTTCATCTTATGCTAAGTAGTTATACTCCTAGCGAGTAAGTATTACACCCAATCTTGGGCATCATCCTTGAAAGAGAAAGGGAATGCTCTCGGCTTGATCTCGCTCTTCGGTGACTCTATTCGGTTTCATACCCGAGCATACCACATGGAACTCTTTCAAGTGTTTGTGAGGATCTTCACCCGTGGATCCTTGAAAGTTAGGCAAAAGATGTATTAGCCCGGATTTTAACTCAAATGTAGTATTGGCAGCAAAGTTGGAAAAATGGATGTAGTGAGGTTGTCGATCCAAATCAAGAGCGCAAGCTCTCTTAGTGTTCCGTTTATAGGTGCGTTCTTTATAGTTTCGCAGGTGCTTGCTACTCCGTTTGTTGCTCTATTTGCTATTCTATCTGCCGAGTAATGGCGTGGGCACGCCGTCTGCTATGTGGCTTTCCTAAGACTTCTGTCTGTGTGTTTTATTTCCGGGTCAAATAGTAGGTTTTTAGCACTCGCTAGATCTTGTAACGTACATAAACAATTGTGAATTCCTCGACAACGATGCCAAAATTTGGTGAGTGCTTGTCGTGTGCAATCCAAATTAACTCCTAAACTCCTTCACCACAAATGTAGTAAGGGAGAGTAAGGATTAATCCCATAAAGGAATTCAATTGCGTTAGTGGTCACAAGTCTAGAAGAAACATGAAATAAATAAAAAGGAGGGTTTTTGATTTGATTGAGATATAAATGAAACTAAAAAAATTAAATTCGGAGAATAAGTTTAAAATAAAATTTCGGGTAAACAAACCTTGGTTTAGGTCACATCCACTTTTGGAACTTAAGATTTATCCTTGGTGCAAGAAATATCGATTCTCATTCAAATATTTATTATGATATTGAAATCAATCTTTCCTTATGATTAGCTAACTAAAAACATGTATTCTAATCAATCTTCACTATTTAACAACCCTAGATACAATCTAAGATTTAATCAAACAATGACTTTATGTACTAGAAAGATCAACAAAGCAAGACAACACAACATATGTAGTTGCATTTAATCTATTTAAACAATCTTCCTAAGAGTCATTAGTTTTTGACGTAGCAAACCATACACTCCTAGTTACTACACGAATTAAAGGGATTGAACAATTACGAATTCAATATTTAATCTAGCTATAGATTATTTCGATCAATAAACTAAGTGCGCACATTAGAAATCAACCCAAACAATCATGAAAATAAGCATAGAAGAAAGTTCAATACTTGAATTAAACAAATTGATTTGCATTAGTGTTTAAGCACCTCAAAATCTTTGGTTTTCAAAAGCTTTAGTTACCTTCACCAAGGCAAAAGAATTAGTCGCTCATAGCATGAGAGACGAGTAAAATAAAGTCGCCTATACTATAAAGAATAAAGGAATGAATAAAAATTGTCTCACTCTAGTATGTTATGTTCCGATTTATAGAGGTTGTCTATTTCCCAAAAAGGGTACAAAATATTCGCTCCTCTTTTGGTAGGATGGCATCTTTTTCCGGCAATTCGTAATAAATTTTGTTTCCTAGTTGAAGTCCGTTTTCCGTTTCTACGGATTTCGGCGTGCCCATGTTAAGTTGCAATGTTCCCACACCTTTATGTCCTTGTGCATCCGTGTCCGCTACATCCGCATGCCCACACTATGATTCTTACATGCCCACGCCTCTCGTGCTTTTTAGTGGCTGAATTGGTTCGATCATAAATTCTCTTTATATGATTCTTTTAACGTCATTTGTCGGTTAGTTCCACATCCTAGCACATAGAATATAAAAGCGAGTTAAGGTTTATCATTTGGACATCTCAAACAAGTAAAATGCAGGGGAATTAAGCAATCTAAACATATGTATTTTTAGCATTATGATAATCAACAAATTAACAACAATTAAACATGCCTTGTGATGTAGGTGAAGTTAAGTTACATGAATAAGTTCCAAATTAACCTTGAAAAGGTAGGTTTCTTGAGAATTCTTTTCCTCCTCTTTTTCCTCTTAAATTCGGATTAGCTCTTTTAATTTTTCCTTGGAATTTTTTAGCTCCCAACTTGAAATTGAGGCTTAATCCATTGATTAGGAGTGTTTAAAAGTGGTTAGGAATATTTTGGTTAATTTTTGAGTGGAATTTTTTCAAGAGTTTCCTTTATGTTTCTCTATTTTCTTGGCATTTTTTATTTTTTCAGCACCTCCATTTATATATGAATTTTGTAGACTTTTTGACTTCATCACCACCTTTAATTTGGGTGAATCTTAGCCCTTAATTCAATTCCTAATCATTTATTTTTGTTGGGCTAAATTTTTGGCCATTTATTCTTCTTTTATAAGGAAAGGACTTTATGGGTTTTTCATTTGGTAATGATAATGGTTCGGGGTTGAGCAAATATAGATGTTCACTTTTAGAGGCTCCGTAGGATGCGTCCGTAGACCTGTCCGATATGCTAGACATCTATTATGGAAATTCGAAGTACCAAAATGGGACATGTCCAAAGACGTAAAAGGACTTTTACATTGATTATGAAATGTACTATGACAACGAAAAGATTTAATGTGCATATATCGGTGTTTTACATATTCATACATGCATTTATGCTATATGCATAGGTTCATTTATCGGATTATAGCTTACTTAGTTCCTTGTGACGTAGATACTTAAGGTACAATGACTTCCTTTTTTATGGAGCCGATTTCTAAAGGTTGTACTAGATGCTTATACCTTGGATGGAGCTTCGGGTTTTAGGTGGACATACTGCATGCGATTTTGTTATGGTACTCGGCTATTATCTTGTATGTCCTAGGACTAGCCGATCCGTTTTATGCTATATTAAAAGCAATGAATAAGTAAATGTAATACTTTTAAAATAATGTATTTAGTAAATAAGCCAATTTTGTAGTAGTTGGCATATAACCGGTTTTGTATCTAAGTAGTAACTTGTATGTAACCGAAGTACTAATAGTAAAATGATAGTGTACTAGTAATAGCGTAGTTACTAATTGTCCATTGCATATTAGTATCCGTAGGACACTTAAGCAATTTAACTAGATGCAAGTCAAATAAAAATGATGATTTATTAGAAAAAGAATCAGTATTATAATTATAATAATAAATTATAGCTAAATGAATTTACGAGTAATTAATAAGGACGAAATTTAAGATAATGGATAGTCACAAAACTAGTAATCTAGTTTAAAGAATGTAAATAATTTAATTGAATGCAACAAATTTATAACGTCTTTAAGTTAAAAAATAAGACCTAATTAGTCAATATTACATTCCTATGGCCTATATTTCACTCTAGACGTTAAGATTAAGCCACGTTGCCTTGTTAATTTGCATTCATTATACTTTGAATGTAAGTTAAAGACGGTAATATTCTCAACTTTTTAGGTCCTAGGTTAGGGGTGTTATAACTTTATTTTATCTAAAGCCATATTGCTAAACTAAAGAGGTACAAGGTGCACACACTTCAAGTAATCATCCCTTCATTGATTGGCCGTACTGCCACGTGTCGAAACAGCAGTTAATAAAATGGTAAAAGCTGGAGCAACAAGAACAATTAAGGGCCAAGGACTAACACAGATAATTCGTTTCACCAAGAAAGTTAAAAAGAAGCAGGTACAATTATTGTACACACAATAGCTACAGTACTTTGCTAAAATACATAACTGCATGCTCACCCTTATGGTAATCATCCTTAGTTGATAGGCCATACTGCTACATAGGTCGCAACGGCAGTTAAGAAAATGGTAAAAGCTGCAGCAACAAGAGCAATGAAGACCCAAGGACTACTAAAATAATTTTGCAGCCACTGGGCAACCCATTTCTTGATAACATCCTCACACTGTATATTAATTTTTCTTTTAACATCATTATAGGCATTAGTCTCGGGTTCCAGAGAGTTGGTCATGTCGTTAAAAGTTTTTGCAACTTCTTCATCCGCTCCAAGATAATTATAGACTATGCCTTTTGATCGCAGCTCCTTTACATCTTCAGCATCATTAATCAGTGAATCCATGAAGCATAGGTATGAAGTGACCCAATGCTTTTTCTTTGGAACAGCAGATGATTCGTAGGCCACCAAGTTTAAGAGCATGGACTTGGTTGACTTATCTATTGTAATTGGAGGAAGCTTCAATGTTCCAGTGAAAATTGAAGACCTGAACTTGACATTCGTCAGTGCATTACTCTTGCTTGGCCGGAAGTGAATTCCAACCTTCTTAAGATCCTTGGCAGAATAATACAAGTAATGACCTCGGTGTCCAGATTTATCAGACTCCTCGGTTTCTACAGGGATGAATCTGGAATACAGAAGTTCAAGGAGATGTGCAGGCTGTTTATCTCCTGTGGCCTCCTTTTTCTTTTTAGGTGTTGATGGCGGCGAAGTCTGATTCCAAGAGCACAAACAACAGCAGCAGCAAAAATATATGAACGATATCAAAAAAAGAATGGATAGCAGGGCCAACTTTGAAAGTGATTCATGAGGTTTGCGAATTTGTAGAAATTCATCAATCATTTTGTCCCTTTCTTCTTCTTTGAACCTCAATTTCATCAATGAATCAAGGACCAGATATGGGAGCTGATTCTCCAATAATAACAGGTCCCGTCTCACATTGGCAACTTCCTGATCACTCATCTTCAAATCATCATACTTACTCGTGACACAATGGATGAATTGGAGAACAAAGCAACCATCAATAAACATCATCTTGGTGAAGTCATCATCATCAATCTTTTCTATTAAACTCTCATCATAGAATTCTTTTGCTTGTTTGGCCACCTTTTCTACCTCCCAGACCCCGTAAAATTCTTCTTCCTCTTTTCCACTTTCTAGGATAAACTGGCGTGTCATCGAATTCTTGAAACTCTCTCCATTCTTGAGTTTCTCCACACGATCCAAACGGTGATAAGGTCCGATTGAGACCATCAAGGGATTGTAGCATTCATTGTTCTTGTTTTCACTCTTAAGAAGTTTTTCTGGAACCTTCGGAATCTTTGGCCCTTGCGAATGATTGCTTTCAGCCTCTTCAACCTCATCCATTATCTGGATAAGCCACGAAGGACAAGAACCTCCGTCCCTTGGGATTGCATTATTTGGTGGTGTTTCACTTTCAGCCGTTGAAGCTTCGGGAGTCTTTTGCTGTTGGGATTGGTTGTTTTTATTCTGATCCTCTCCCTGATTCACCATTGGTATCACCTTATCCTCCTCACTGCCCGAAGAACTTGAACTTGGGTCATTACTTGCGTCATTTGGATTCGTTTCAGCCATTTTGCTACAGACTAATGAACGGAGGATTCTCTGCTATTGGAAACTGATAAAAAATGATAAAAGCTGACACAGAACATTAAAACATTATCAAGCATGAGAACTTGAGAACAAAAATTGAAAACTAAAACTTTTCATGCATCATAGCACTCTAAAAACCAACAAGAAAAATGTACATAAAAAACAAATCTGTAGCTATAAATCAATGTGAACTCACAAAAGATCAGATTCTTACAAGAAAAGGCGTCCTCTTTCAAGCTGCTCCCCATTCGTCTGCTGCACCTCTTACTTCTTTAATACACAAAATTGTCCCCAGTTGTTCCTATTACACTTAAAATTCATACAATACAAAGAGGTTTTGTCCATTGTCCTCTGCTCCTACTCACTGTTTTTCCTCCATTACCTGTTGGTTGTGAATCTCTTGCTTTCAGCTCACACATTTATAAGACAAGATTCATATCTACAATCAATTCTAGCAAGGGAGCCAATAGCAAAAGAACAAGAGCATACATATCTTATATAGACTTAACCAAAAATGCCCTTACAAGTTGGAGTTCCAAAACCTGCTGAATAATAATGCAAGAAATGGAGTAAAAAAAAAAAAAAAAAAAAAAAAACAAACATCGTTATATTACAGTGCATTAGTGCTTCATACCAGACCCCACACCAATAACTAGAAATTTCTCAAAAATAGCTACCCCTTGCTTCCAAAATTTTCATAGACTCTCTCTCCACTCATCACTCCATCACCCTGATAATCAAAGTATTATGGCCAAGCCATCCTATTTACACTAGCAGTCGGTGGCAAATGCCCTTTTCTTAAGTCGGTTCGGAAGTATGAGGAAAGTGCCATTTCTTGTCAAAATAATTTTTGTGAAGGAAGCGAAAATTTCCACGAGTACGCAATCCAAAAGTAAGAACTTCGTCAACACCCGCCAAAACTTTTTTTGACTGTCCTTGTTTTCGTACTTTGTAAGAACATAGTCAACACCAGCTAAAACTTTTGTTTTTACTGTCCTTATTTTCGTACTTTTCTTTTCACTCCCCTTCCATCGCCCGCAAAACTCTTCCCACCATTTTTTCCCTCGGTGGGACCCACTGCAATGAAACTCCATACAATCATGGAATGTAAAAATCAAACCCAGCCACAGGCTAAATCACTTCCGGATAGGTGTGGGGCCTCTCAAATAATTCAGCCTTTCTTGGAGTGTAATGCTCAGGATTGTTTTGGACTAATCTCTCGAATGATCACAGGCCAGTCAATGATTCTCAGCCATGGAATATGTGGTTTGGAGTCTGTTGTTGGCTTTTATGGTCTTCGCCCATTAAAATCTTATCTGATGGCAGATTTTGGCCTCCTACTAATCCAGTGAATGCAGTTGCATTGTTTACAAACCAAGTTGAAAGGCTGTGTTCTTTACATAAACATATTTGCATGAAGCAGAAACTTCTTATTGGTTGGCTTAAATCTTCTAGAAGTTGGGTTAAATTAAACAAAGATAGAACCTTACATAGTTCCATTGTGTATTACCGGATGATTCAAAAACTTGAATTTAAGGCTTTTTTTTTTACAAAAAATAAAAAAAGAAAAAAATTGTTCGGTGTTATGTGCTAAACTTTAGGACATTTTCATTGGTTTGAAGATGACTATAAATGCAGGTTTTGGTCGAGTACTATTACAAACTAATTTAAAACTAACTATTCAGTTACTATCTTTAGAAAGAGTTTATAATGGAGATTATAGCAAGTTGATTCATACTATTTAGGGGCTATTTAAAAGGTCGTAGCAAATTCATATTTCTCATATTTTTAGACAAACATACTGCGGATTAGTCGGCATCTTATACTTAGTCTCTTTCTCTAAGAATTTTATATTTTTGAGATGGATCCTATGGGTTGTATAAGCTTTTTGTTAGAAAATATTTGCGTAGTTACGTCTAGACTTTTTAATTTTAACTAGATTCTTAGAACTTTGTCTCCCTCCTTAATAATATATATATATATATAACCCAAAATGAGTAAATTATAAATTAGTCCCTCTCGTTTAGAGAAATATATTAATCAATCGTTCTCACTTTTAAAACTAATCATTTAGTCCTCATGTTTTTAAATCTATTTGTAATTTAATCCTTTTTGTTCTTTTTAAATTTATTTTGATTTTTGTTTCAAGAAATAGAAAAAGAAAAAAATGGAACGATTCATGGGAAAATAAGAGATTTTATGGAATAAAAATAATATTAAATTAAGCATGTTCAACACTTATTGAAAGACTAAATAATAGTCTTTTAATTTGTTTCTTAAAACTAGAGGGACTAATTTATAATTTACTCAACCCAACACTCATAAATCCCCATTTATATTTTTTACTCGGCTTGTAAAGGATTCAACCGAGTGACTTTAAGGATGAGTGACAATGATCCCTAAAGGACTTTAGGTTGTTGCTTCCTTAAAGGATTATAAGTTATTTTGCATGTGGACATTATGATCTTTATCTTTAAAACATTCAAGTTCATGTTTATCTTTCTACTAAAATATCTTTTAGACTTTTAATTAAACATATTGGCCTCAAACTATTTTGGCCCAATTAATTAATTTGGACTATCCAAATAAATTAAGCGAGATAATTTTAAGAGGCCTAAATTAGGAAGTAATTTTTCAAATTATTCTTAAACCTAGTTTAGGAAACTAATTTCTATTTTAAGCTATTCATTCCAAATTTGGAACTAACTTCCAAATTAGAAAACCGATTTTTAAAATAGAAAATTTTTCATTTTAAAAAATGTTTATTTTAGAAAACTTTTCATTTTTGAAAACCTTTTCTAAGATAAGAAACTTTCATAATTGAAATTTTTTTTCAGCATTTTCGTTTCTTTTTAATCATGTGAATGCTTAAACTTATGCGTGTGACTCAATAGGTTTTTAGATATATTAGCAATATATAAAAAATAAAAGACATCTCTTTTATCTCTTGATACATAAGTCATAACATATATAAAAAATAAAAGAAACCTCTTTTATCTCTTGATACATAAGTCAAGATTGGCCTTTAACAAGGCACATGACTACCTAATTCTCAAAGAGGATTAATTAATCCGTAATTATCTTTTAAGTACATGGTTATCATATAATTCAGATCCTCATGTCAACTTATCACATTGTAAACTCGAACTTGGTTATTAGTCTTGTTCGATTATGATCATACAAGTTTTTTTCGATTCTTAAATGTCTTAACTCATAGAGTAAACCAATTACACTCTATTGATGTACTTCTACTATGGTCACATATTTTTTTAGTAGACATTCATCGAAGTGAAATATGATATCTCTTTTAGCGTAAAAGGAATGACATGTCCTATCTTAATTATTCCCATACCTTCATTAAATTCCTAGTGTACTCAACAAGTCGCCCATGTGGAACCCTTTCTCGGGTCCATTGAAATGAGTGTAAAAATATATAAATCCTCTAATAAGATAACAGTGATGACCTTAAGTCTAAAGATCGATTGTACCCTTCTCATATGAGATTCTCATAGAGCTAAACCAAATGGGTTCTTATGGTGAGTCAAGTCTAGTGACATATTTTCTAACATAAATCACCTAAGTCCTTGCTTTGGAATCATTATGCTAATAGGCGTGGGATCTCCTACAACTATCATATAACATGAGTATAACACTCACAAGTCTAATCGTATATAATCAATATCCATTCTTAACCACGCTACGACTTAGAACATTTAACTATATCATTTATATGTATTAGTGTTTGTCTCATATTTTTTGATCAATCGCTAATGCAAATGAATATTATATGGACTTCTATCTAATTCTAATAAATTCTAATCAATGAATAAATGTAAATGATAAAAATTGATAGAAAGACATCTTTTATTATAAATAATATAAATAATACAATAATATAATAAGTCAAACCCATATGAGTATGTTGCCACATTTATCAATATTTTTGAATCTCGATACTACGAATACTTAATAGGTTATCACTCATCTCAATTTGATGACCTAATTGAAATGGATGAAAAGGTTGGACATGACATATATTTAAAGAAGATCGAATATGTAGCTACTAAATCTTTTAAATTGTGAGATGATGTTGTCGCATATGCTTTTAACACTATCCATTATCATAGCCCCAAGTTGAGTATAGCGTTATTTCTTACTCTAAACAAAAGTTTCATAAAAAATTGAGATATCTCCCTCATTCAACAAATTTCATGAGTGCTTTCAACTGCTAATATGATTAACTCGGGTTATTAAAAATTGACAAATATTTGTTTCTCATTGCCTATTATAGTTGATGATGGTTGTCTCTGGTCATTACAAGGTTGTTTGATAACGTTGATTCTAATCAAGCCAAGTGAGCTATCTTTTCCTAAGTGGTGTTACAAAAATGAGAAATTAGAATTTTGTATATAGATTATTGAGCACGTCATTGAAAACTACTCAACATCCGAGAGTAGAATCCATACTTTGATCAAGAATGATTGGTTATAGCTCATAAAGAAGGGTGAAGCCTATTACATCAATGTGGATCTTATGACGTGTTTAGTAACTAATAGTGTGAACAATGTCGGTGTTACCACCCGAGAAACTATATGATGATTGTCTTTTCAAAAAAGAGAACTAATAAATAAAAAGAGCTTGGAAAGAGATTGATCATGATGACACATATAGAAAAGCTCATTAAGCTCATTGAAGAAGACATATGCCTTGACTTTATGAATAAAGTCTTTTAACTTTTATTGAATTTTTGAACTCTATTTTCAAAAGGTGTTATGGTTTTCATGGATCGAGTCATTTTTTTGAACGAAAGAAGAAAATTTTGATCTCCTTACATAGTTTTGTTATTGATTTGAAAAAAAACAAAGATGATTATTTGAAAGTATCATTTGTCATTTTATATAATCTAAATTAGGTATAAAATGACAAATCCGTTCAATATATTTTAAAATTGATCAATTTGTAAAATATATCATGTAAATGCT